GAAGTCACCTGGTGATTTATGGCACAGTTCGCTTAGGTGTTCTCCATATTTTGTCCAAGATTCATTTTTTGATGCTCTAACAACTCTTTTGCAGTTCCTTCTTGCTAGCCTGTATTGCGTGTAGTCGTTTTCGTCCTGATCACATACATTAAAAGGTAACATATTATTTTGTGTTATGGACATCTAGCTCTCACTGGCAAAATTGAAGGCAACCGAGGCAGGAGTAGGCCCAGAGCAACCTACTTAGGGAACCTAAACCAATGGATAACGGGGAAAGATCAGGGAGGCGTAGCTTTTTTAAGAGTATCCGAGCAAAGAAATGAATGGAGAACCATAATCGCCTACGTCTGTCGCGGGATCTGGCACTGGATGATGATGATGATGATGATGATGATGATGATGATGATGATGATGATGATGATGATGATGATGATGATGATGATGATAGGCTGAGATACTCGATCGAAATCCCTCCCCCCTCACCCTCCCCTTCCTCTTATATCGGGAGTCGAACTCAACACCCACGTACATGTTCAAAAATGAAGTTTTAAAATGTCCGAAAGAAAAATAAATGTTTCTCATTTGTCCCATCCAGTACTCTCCCCCTCCCCCTCCCCCTCACTCCCCCACCGAGTCGCGGCTGTTCCAAGGTCACCCAGGCTATGACATCACACTGACCACTATGTACCTGAACCTGGGCAAGTTCCAAAAGGGCGGCGGGAACCTCATCTACACCACCGAGGGTTACCTGGGCTGGATGAAATCCTGGGGCTGGCTTAACAACACCGTGGTGGCTTTCTTTGACAACGACAAGATTCTGGAGGTTTTTAGGTGGGTAACGAGATGAGATGAGATGAGATAAGAAAAGATAAGATAAGACAAGATAAGACACGAAGGCATAAGATAGGATAAGATCAGTTCAGATCAGATCAGATAAGAGTAGGCTTCGGCCACCACCCGGGCAAAATTCAAAATTTCCTACCAACTGAAAATGTTTAATGTGTCCCGTGCGCTCATATGACCTTATGCAGTTGCGAGCGCCGTAAAACACTTACCAAATAATGACCCAGGCTACTTCTACCTTGCCCCTCTGGTTCAAGTAGAGTTGAGGGGGTAAGTAGCAGGGTGGTGGAGATAAGTGTTATCATGGTGCAGCGGAATCAGGCTCTCGTCAGTTTTTTGGCATACGGCAGTTTTGGTATCATCTGAAAGCTTGTTCATTTGTCTTGATTTCGATAAAATAATTTCTCATCTGTCTTAAGTAGAAGTCAACATTTTTCGGATTGAAGTAGCTTTGGGACACTTGATTTCAGAGGTAAAACTAGCAACAAAATGGCTGCCAAAATTTGGTGACTTTCAAATATCTCAACTGTTACATCAAACTCGCGGGGACTTGAGCTCTAAGAGGTTTGGAGTCTCTGTAACAAAGAGTTTGTAAATTGTTTATTCTCTATTCCTTGATAGATAGCTCTCTGATAGCATTTTATCTACTTAGTCATGGAAGAGAAAGAATGATAAAAGGGCATTGATTGCGGCGTGTTGATGTTACGGAGGAGTGCTCGAGATGTAAGTCAAGCTTAAGTGGATTTTGAAGTGACCTGGATTCATATGTTGACCTTATTCAGTATTCGAAAACCTTTGCTGGGTTCTTTTGATACTATTCGATGAAATATAAATGTACTTCTGTTATAAGGGTTTTGTGATATGGCTAGAAATAACACTTATTTCTGGTTTTTCTTTCGAGATTTGACCCCCCCCCCCACACACACGAAAAGTCATGACGTCGGTCCAACATTCATTCTTTAACCATATGTGAGGCATCGTGGTGAAATCAGGTGCTAGTCAAAAAGATTAATCAAAGAAAACGACACTTTTCCATCGGGGAGTCAATTTTTCTAAAAAATAGTTTTGGCTTAACACCTTCTTAGACTATTGAAAAAACATTTTAGTGTGGATTTTACTGAAAAGCGTTGGTTAAAGGCACAAAAACTGTAAATATTCGTTTCCAAAGGACTCTCAATCTATGGAGTTGCCAAACTTAAGTGGCCATTTTCTCCATAGTTTTACTTCTGAAACCAGGCAACTCCTACCTCCTTCCATCGCAGCTATCTTGACTTCTGTTCACGATAATTGGGTATTTTTAAGAATTGGAATTTTTTAAAAATGAACAAGTTTTCAGATGATACCAACAACTCCATATGCCCAAAAAGTGATGAGCGCCTGATTCCACCGCGTCGTGACACATATTTCTCCTTGTCCCCTCATTGAGATCTGCAGGTCAGTGTGTCCTCTTGTGCCAGCTGACTTGTCTCAGTGGCGGGATTGGAGAGAAGGGATTGGGGGGGGGGGGGGGGCGTGTGATATTTTGAGTAACGTTTTACGGCGCTCGCAACTGCATTAGGTCATATGAGCGCCAAGGGGTGGATGCCAACAGAGAAGTCCAAACGGGGAATAAGGCTTACTCTGCTCAACTCTCTGGCCTAAACAGCACAAAGTCTGCTTCGACTATCAAGGCACCCCGGAAATAGCAGTTTACAAGAGAGTGACATACATACAAAAGAAGTAGAGGTAAAATGACGATAGTAAGGATGAGGAAAGAAAAAGCAGCAGTTCCCACTATGTTATTCCGGCACAGTATGAACTTGACTTTGATAAATCAGCCCATTTACAATTCTACGAGGGGCATACCAAAAGTTTTTTTACCTGACCGTGAAGAAATAAAAATAGAGAGCTGAAATTTGGGGTAAAGGCCGACAAACATCTTCCAAGAACGCATATCAATTTTGGAGAATTTCCAATTCCTTGTTTTACCACCAGCGCACTGTAAGTGAATGAAGGTTCTCCATTTTCAACAAATAAATCTAAGAAAATTGAGCACAGGGCAGTAAGGAAGTTTTTGTTCTTGCAAAGCAAGCCACAACAGGGTGTTTTTACGAAGATGCATGCCGTATATGTAACTGATTGCCCATCTTATGCTGTCTTGACATTTTAGTTTTAAAAATTCAAAATTCGGATATGTGAACATTGAAGATGGCCGCCGTGATGGTCGCCCAGTGACAGCAACAACAGCAGAGAATGTGTTGGAAAGCAAGAAACTTGTGTTGTGTGATAGGCGGGTGACAGAAGCTAGGCTTATTTAGCATTGGATCAGTTGAACGAATCTTTAGTGAACATTTGAATATGACCAAGGTTTCTTCGAGATGAGTCCCACGTTTGTTGACTCCTCAAAAAGTGCAAAGTGAGGATTATTGTTAAGAATTGCTTGGTCTGCATGAAACGGAAGAAACAAAACGTTTTTGAAAAACGTGTAACTATGGATGAGACATGAGTCCACCACTACGATCCTGAGTCAAAATCTGAAAACGAAATGGAAATCACCTTCGTCTCCAACATCAAAGAAGGCAAAGGTGCAGCCCTCAACAGGAAAAGAGATGCAATCTGATTTTTGGGACCAAGAAGGAGTGATTATGACAGACTATTTTGAAAGTGGATATACGATCACCGAAGACCATTATTCTAACCAGCTTTAAAAAAAGTACGAGAGGCTATAAAAGAAAAACGCAGAGGAAAGATCCGAAAGGCATTTTGCTGCTTCACGACAACGCGCCAGCACACACTTCAGGAAAAGCTGAAGAACTTCCTCGAGAAAATGGCTATGAAATTTTGCTACATCCATCCTATTCTCCAGATTTAGGCCCATTCTGACTTCTTGTAATTCCCAAAACTAAAACAAAGGATTTAAAAGGAAGGCAATTTGAAAGTGATGATGAGGTCAAAGAAGCGGTTGAGAGCTGGTTTCCTGACAGAGAGAGGGTCCTCTATTTTCAAGGTCTTTTCAAGGCCATACACCGATGGAGGGGAGAGAATTTTGCAGCTTCTTTCATAGACTACCTAACAATTCTTCTTCCATTCAAAAAGCAAAGGATGAGCTGAATGGGGGATAAGAGCCAGAGTTTATTAGATATTTTAAACTACAATAATCCTCAACGACCTTGGAAGGAACTGTTTCGCTGACTCGGACAATTCTTCACTCACTAGCAGCGAGAGAAGGCGTCACCGGCCGAGTAGAGACGTGACATCTTGGCCTATGTGCGTTTTTGGAGTAAATTTCGACTTCAGCCATTTCTCTCGTGCTAAGATGTGTACTAAAGCAACTAACTCATAGGCGTGCGATAAAGACTGTGGTGAGTATCTTATGCGTTAATGTCTTGTCTGCTCGTTCATATTCATTGACCAAGTTTTCTCTTTTTTTTCTCTTCATTTTCAGAAAAATTCGCTCTGTCCAGCCCCCCGAGAGAACGATCCTCCACAAAATCAGCAGAGACGAGCTCCCGGCTTTCAAGGATTATGACAAGATTAAAAAAATGTTCGCTCAGCCTTCCTACCCAAAGTTTAACCCAAACACAGTGAAGGTGAGAGCGACTTTACAGCACGTGCGACAAAAAACTCTCCCCACTCTTCATTCCACACAATTTAGACTGGGAGAGTCCGATACTAGTGACAACTATTTCGTTTCATTTCATGCTAGTCTTTGCTTGTTTTTCGGAACTATTCCCAATCCAAGTTTTTTTAAAGGTAATCCCTAGGCCTTTGTTTCCGCAATTTAGAAGTTGAAGGCTTGCTTTTGGGTTTATAATGAGACATAGTGCATCATGTTTAGGTGACTGTAGAAAAAACTCCGGGAAACAATGGAAAAAACGCAGGGTTTAAAGAGTTAAGTGGAAACAAATGGCTTTCGCCTCAAATGGCTATCTGCGCTAAGCACCAAATTTGGAGATCACAAATATTATATTGATACACCGACAAATAGGCGATGAGATGGAAAGTCACGTTAACATCATTCTGACTGCTTTCACCTCAAATGGCTAAGCACCAGATTTGGAGATCACAAGTACCGTATATTGATACGCCTACAAATAGACGATGATACGCCGACAAATAGACGATGATACGCCGACAAATAGACGATGAGATATAAAGTCACGTTCACCTCTCTCTCCCCCCCCCCCCCAGGCGGAGTACTCGTGTGCTGTGAGCGCCAAGATTGACGTGCTGGACAAAGTGCTGAGGTCAGAGAAGATCTCCACCAAGTACTTGGCCTGGCTGGACATTGGCTACTTCCGGTGAGTTTTTGTTCTTGTCTCATAGCGCACATTGACGGGCAGGAATTGTTTTATGATCCAACTCTCTCTCCGTGATGTAGAAGTCATTGTCTCACACATTGCACAGGAAATGTTTTGTTAGCCAAATCTCTTTCTTTCTTTCTCTCTCTCTCTCTCTCTCTCTCT